GTTTATTGTGCGGGGGTGGGTAGGGCGTTGGATTGTTGTAATAAAATTAAAGTTTTAAAAAAAAAACTCCTCAATTATTTTATTTAGTTTTCACTTTTAATATTTGATTTTGTGGGTCAGTTTCATTAGGCTTTTAGTAGGCTGTTATGTGATTTAATGGGCCAATTGAAGGCTTTAAATGTGTGGGTTTGTAATAGGTGATCAATTGGATTTTAAATGAGACCCATAACTCAAGGGCCAGACTGGTATAAATATTAGCCTACGAACGTTTAGCTGAATGGTGTGTGTTCTCCTCCCAATGACTTTGGCAAAATCCAATCTTCTGTCCCCTTTCTCTATGAATAGTAGAATCTTCCATTTTTTTTCTTTATGTATAATATGTTTTGATGATGCACAAAATAGTCTTATGTAAGATTAACAGTCGAGTGTGTGATAAAGTATAATTAATGGACAATTAGTAAAACAGTCAATGATAGTAACATAAATATTATGTCAACACACAGAAATATAGTGGTTCGGTGTGGGTGACCTACTCTACTCTAGAAAACGTTAATGGTGGCCGAGAGACTTTTATTGATGAAGTAAGGTGAATAGGGGAGAGAACAATGATTAGCTCAAGAAGAAATACAATAGTTAGAAGAGACAAAAATTACTTGTGTAGAGGTAGAACTCAATGTGTAGTGAGATAACTCTCTCAATAGAGAGATCTTACAATTTATAGGCGTGGTGAGGCGGTGACTTGAGTGTGAGGGTACTAATTCTTCAAAAAGAATAGTTATAAAAGATAAATATAATTAAGATAGCACTGATATTTGAGAGTGGGTATCTCGATGATCTCTTCTCCACGTGCTGTTATTTTCTTAGATTTCTTGGACCTCGGGCTGGGTCGAATTTACGAGCCGGGTTTGACCTACCTTTTAGTTGACTTGGGCTTGCTGGATTTGTTAGGCCTGACTTNTGGGTCGAATTTACGAGCCGGGTTTGACCTACCTTTTAGTTGACTTGGGCTTGCTGGATTTGTTAGGGCTGACTCAGTTAGATTTGGGCTCGTCATATTTTAATTTAGATAACTTCAATTTGAATTAGATTTACCATAACTTTCTAGTGAACGAACGTGACCTGACCCTTAAGGTGACGCTGCCGTGAGCATATTTAAGTTAGATGTTGGAGTTGCATATATTCGTTAGTATCTTTACGTATGAAGACATAGCTGTTTTAGTACAGTGATTACGCGCTTCTTTGATATCATAGATAAACTCTTTCTAATTTAGCATTGTTTATTTTATATTATCCTAATCACACGATATTGTATCATATTTGATTGTATTATTGTTGTTTTGTATTTTTATAATTGATTTATTAATTATTATATATATAAAATTATGTTATTTTTCCCATCACACATCTATCATGAATTAAAAAGGGATCTACAACTTCTCCGTGGGTCCATCATCAACACACAATTGCTGGCATAAAATTAAGAAAAATTAAAGAGAAATTGCAATGAAAGAGATCAATGCAAAATTTCACTTAATTCTTGATATGTTCATTCTCCTATGTTAGTACTGCAGTCATGGTAAAAACTCTTACAAAGGCTGATACCTTAATTTCTATAAGAATTGTTCCGCTTACGACATGTTTTGAGGTTTGTTGAATATATTTTTTGTTTAATTAATATTTTATACTTCAACATGTTGGCTTCTCATAAGCCCTTGAGGATTACCATTTTCTGGTGATACTATGATAACAATATGATCACCACCACCACCGTCACCGCCACCACCATCACCATCACCATCACTAATAGGTTTTACGGTCCCACTATGAAATAACTGTGATTTCTCAGCTATTACATTTGACTTCACTGTCCTAAAACGAGCTTGGTCTGAAAGCTCATGAATGGATGCTGAAATATTTTCGACGCTTTTAATAATGTTAATTAGTATTGAAGCAACTGTAACGGCTGGTATGACTTCGAGGAGGTCTGTTTTTACTGGTGGAGAAGCCTCTAATGCAATTTTCAATTCCTCAGCAGCTGCTTTGGAGTTTTGAAGATGGAGATCACAAGAAGATGGGTGGGTCATGTTTTTGATGGCTGAGGCTAATTCCTTTAAAGCCTTGCTTGATTCTGAGCTCAGCTTTGTGCATGGTTGTTGAATTTTTCTTCGAAATTCCGATGGTGCCTGCAGGGAAAACAATTTAGTCAGGTGGACGAATTAGGATGTGTTATTGTAAGCATATTATTACTACAATACAATTATTCTTTTAGTCCCACTTTTATTTATTTAAAATTTAAATTTAAGTGAGACCTTGTCATTTTGTTTTTTTTGTTTTAGTTCATATGTTTAGTCGAGCAATGCCATGTTTATTAAATTATTTATTAAATTTGTATCTCAAATTAGTATAGGTGGTTAAATTAATGGGATCTACAAACTTCCACTAAATATTCAATCCACATGATTTTAACACATCATTTAGTATACAACATTTGACGATACAACATTTGAGAATTATAGATTTATCCTTTTCGGTTAATATAGCGTAACCCAAATTTATTGGTTGGCTATCTAGCTAGGCAAAGATCTTGGTTTATGCAAAAACCCAAAAAAGAGTGAACAAAAAAAAAGAAGAAACAAACTCCTAAATTTTAGAAGTTTGACTAACATTAAAATTCTCTCACATATATATATATATATAGAAAAAATAAAAAATAGTAACATTAAAACACAAAAAATTGTACCACTTAAACACAAAAAATAGTAACATTCAAAAATAAAAAATAGTAACATTAAATATTAATATTTGAAAAAAATAACAGTAATAACATAGTAAAAAAAAAAAAATTACATTGAATATTGATATTTCAGAAAAATACTAACATTCAATATTAATAGCAATATATTCATTAAAAAAATAGTAACATGCTCATCAAAAAAATAGTAACATACAACAAAAAAAATAGTAATATGCACAGAAATGGTAGTAATGTCAAATTTAAATTTGAATTTTAGAATTTATGAAAAAAAAATCTTTCATTAAATGTGAATTAATGACGACTATTTAAGAAACTGACTTAATGTTGAAAATTACTTTTTAAGTCATTAGAAGAACATTTTGGAGTTTAAAAAAAAACAGTGAATTTAATTACTTATTAATAAAATTAAAAATAGTTTTACCCAAAAATAAGTTTTTTTGGCAGACTAAACTCATTATAAATCCTTAAGGAGGATTCGACTCCAACTTTCACTTTTTTTTTTTCTGAATATGAATACAGATTGCTCATATTGGCGAGACGAGTATAAAACGGTTAGAAAAAAAAGATAATAGGGTTATAATACCTGAGGCTGAGGGTTTATGTAGCCATTAAGAGTTTCAATTTGGTAAGCACATTGGCGAGAAAGGACACCAATCTTCAGGTATTGTTTCCATGGATGACAGAAACCGAAACGACCATGACAANTGGGGGGGAAGGGGAGAAGTGGAACACTGTGTTGGTTCAATCGAAAAATGGCCGATAATGCTTCTTAGGGTTGACTACTTAAGGTTTAAGATTCAAGCAGCTCGTTGCTACACTATTAGTCAAGCTAAACTAAGATAGAAAAGCGAGGTTATTTTAAGTCTTAAATAACTTTATTTTTCTAGAGTAAAACTCTGGACGTCTTTGACAAGTAAATTAGATGTATAACTTACCAACTGAGAAATCGATAACAAGCACAACAGTTAAGATTGCCCACATTCCTGACTGCCCGAAAGCATCATATAGAGGCCTCAAATAATAGAATAAGGAGACCAATGTGATAGCTAGTCCCGCCTTCAGTGAGTGTCTGATTCTTCTAGGATCATCTTCTCCGAGCTTCTTTGTTTTGGTTACAATCTCAAACCCTTTGGCCTTAAACTTCTCGGGCAAGGCCTTAAGCCATCCACACCCCCGACTGATCGGCCTGGTATTCTCTTGGGTGGCTGAACCAATTTCCATGGCTGAAGAGGTCGGAGTTGCACTTTGTATGGTGTGTGCGGACTGAGAAGTGATAAGAGAATATAGTCAAGTGAAAGGAGAAAGATAAGTAGACATTTTAAAGGTGGTCTCTTCAATCTTATAAGCTATATGGACCTTGGAGAGAAATGGTAACTGAGATAAGAAGAAATGGTCACTGATAGATAAGAATATGGAGATATCTCACCAGTCCAAATTGATAAGTAGTAAACTTGGAAAGAAGATAAATATATTTTAGTGACACTTACATGTGTAAGCCCTATGGGTTGTCCTTGGTTTGACCTTTGACGAGGAGACATAGATTTTCTTTGACAAAACAGAAGGGACTAAGCAAGGAGGCTGACTATGCATGTGCCCCAAATTGGGTTGTAATTAATAATAATAATAAAAAACCCTATGACTAAAAGCACAGACTCAAGCTTCCTAATTTTCTAGGTATTATGTTTCCATGTTAAATAATTCCCATTGATTAAGTCGAGTTTGTCAAGTTTAAGTATGTTTATATAGATTGTGATTTGTTAAGATTTTGAACTTGAGATCCGAGCTTGACTTGCATTCTTATTCAAGTTCAATTTAACTGAAGAATGCGAGCTTTCTTAGAAGGTACATCATCAGAATTCTACAATTTCAATTTTTTTTTTCATATCAATTTGAGAAGAGAGGAAAAATGAGGTGTACAACTATTTAGTAATAAGTTTAGGAGAGTTTAAGAGAAATTACATTGGAAGAGATCAATGCAAAATTTCACCTATATCTTGATTTGTTCATTCTTCTATGTTAGTACCGCAGTCACATTAAAAACTCTTCAAAGCTTGGTACCTTAATTTCTTTAAGAATTGGTCTCCTTGCGACGTTTTTTGAATTTTGTTGAACATTCTCTTTTGTTGGAATCAAATAATTTACTTACCAAAAAAACAAAATAACTCTTCAAAAAATGGTTCCTTAATTCCCTTTAAAGTTGTTCTGTTTGTCCTTTCGGACGTGTTTGGAGGTTCATTGAACATTTTCGTTTGTTGGAATGAAATTATTTATTTACCAAAAAAAACTCTTCAAAGCTTTTGGAAAAAATTGCATTCATTTTCCTTTTTTCATTGTAAAGAACAACGCTACAAGTTACTACGCGTGAAATGTGGATGGCTAAATTTCATTCATGTTTTTATCACTTTAAAAGGCTTTACTTTTCACACGAGAGAGAGAGAGGGGCTAGTCATACTTGTTGACCAGTCAATGATCCACAGCATGTCTTGCACGGTTGCACCATTGATATGGGCCAGGTAGGCCCTTCCCCGGCCCCATCGCATGCCCCAATTTGAAACTCCTTTTCTAAGCAGTCCATATGGACCATTTACACATTGGGTAAAGTCACGACTCACGAGCTATTCTTTTTGGTTTTGCTAAGCCCGAATTGTCCTTTATCTTGGCCCGACAAATAAGCTCATTGCCTGATCCATTAGCCTGATAAAATTCAAAAAAAATAATAAATATTTAATAGGTCTTATTTGAATAAATCATAATAAAAATAAAAAAAGTCTATTGGGATCGACCTGACTAGTACCCCTTTAAGGCACGTTCATTATGGATGGTTGAAGGATAGATCCTGGTTTTTTAGTCGATCAATCTGTTGATCAATCAATAACTAAGAAGTCGAAGGCCAGAGGCCATTTCTATGGCTTCTTAATGGGTCATTGACTAGTCGGCCAGATAGGCTTGCTACATTCCATCACAAACACATATTTAAAACACTCATTTTGAGGCAACTCCATGATGATTAATATAAAATAACATATACGCTTCGTTTTTAAAAAAAAACCCAACTGACAACTGCTAAGGTATTATACTACTTCATGTGTTAAAAACGTATCTCTCAATCTTCATAATCAAATGATGCAAGACAAACTTTATAGTCTCTTAATGGCATATTCTATTTGAACCTGGTTTAGGTACGTCCCTTTAAGATTGTTTGGTGAATATTTTTTTTTGCACTTAGTTGATGAGGACGATAAGCACCATTTTTAGTGGAGCCTTTTGTTTATAGCAACCAAACATAATAAGATATTAAAATGTAAGCATGCACAAGCACATTTTTCTTTTCCAATAGAAAAAGAGAACAAAAAGCAACCCATAGAGGTTGATAATAATATAAATGATTTGCTAGCAGTAACCTTTTTATTTTTTTATTTTTCGGAGGGAATCTTATTGAAAAGTAATGACCGAATTGCTTTCACAAAACTTTGGGAGGCTCACATCCATAGTACGTGCATATCGATGGGTCTAAAATTTTATAAGCTTTTTTTCTTTTTAAAAGTTTAGGGGTGTTTGAGTCGATTTGCGCACATCTTGATTAGTTATTTCTTTGATCCGGTCAAAGACAAGCCATCCATGAAGAATAAATCTTTTATGGCCTAGCCTTAAGGTGTTGCTAATATTTAAATTCAAAACGTCTGAATTTATAACTCGTTCCTATTATCACTTGTGCTATGTCTTGAAATTTTTAATAAGCTTTGGTGGTTGGTTGCCTAATCAACTTTTTGGGTCCTACTGAAGATAAAATCATATTATATATATTGTTTCCTAGGTGAAATTTCAAGATACGAGTGCTGAAAATGAATTATAACACGGTTGATTAAGTATGAATGCAAGTGTCTAAATGAGTTGTTTTGTAAATCTATCATGATTTCGTAGAAAAATTAGCTCAAAGTGTAAAAAAAAGTATTAGTGGGAAGTTAGTGTTGGGGAATCCTATCAGCCTATAGATAAGTAAGTGTGCATCCCTAAAGCTTTACCAGCATGCAAGTTTAGATGTATATTGTATAATGCTAAAATGATTTGAATCTAGTCTCTAGACCTAATTTTTTGCTAGCTTCAACAACTAGGCTCAACTTTCTTGAAAACAAAAAAAAAAAAAAAGTCATGTTATTGATGTTAAAAATTCAAACTAATTTTGTTTTTTGTTTTAATGGTTAGGAGTATTCGGGTCAGCTTATATGTACCTCGGTCAGGGGTGTTGATCGAATGATGTGTTAAAGAATATGATTCCAATGACGAAGTTGAACATATGCACTTGTAATAATGTTATTGAACCATTTTATTACTATATCACCGACTCAACAAATTAGATCATATATTTAAAGTACAAATAGTACTGGTCCAACAAATATGAAGTGGGAAACAACTCAAACTACAGCCCTAGAATTCCCCAATTCTTTCATGTTTCTCCTTTTGGTTGGACATCATGAGTTGCTAAAGTGAGGCTCCTTAGCCTATTCATTGGTAAAGAAATTGTACACCACTCATTAACATTCATTCGTTTTTTCTTAGTGAACCTTGTCACTCGTAAACTTCAATACAAATAGACTAGCATTATGCTGATACAGTGGCCACCGTACAACTTAATGCTTTTGTTATAATTAAAGCTAAAAACATTCTCCTACAACACCACCTTCTCAACCTTAGAATTAACAAAAATTCTGTCTTTTTCACTATGTCTTATTTATCTTTTCTTTATGATTTAGCACCATTTCTTTACTTAGACCCGCTAATCACAAAATCCATATTGAAATTGGTAAAAAAAAGAAATTATGAAGTTAAGGTAATCGTACCAAACGGAGCATTAGTTTCATTTTTTATCATTTCATTTTTTATCGTACCAAACGGAGCATTAGTTTCTTTAAGAGTTGTTCCTCCATTTGCGATGTGTTCAGAGGTTTGTTGAACATTCTCTTTTGTTGGAATCAAATAATTTACTTACCAAAAAAATACAAANATATTGTGTGTGACATATTGAATTTTGGTTCAAAAGGTCTAGTTCACGCCTTTGAATTTTGGCTCACTTAATTAACAGGTTCAATTTCGGAAGTCATATTATATCTATTGCAGAGTATAATAGTTGCCCCGTTAATTGGATTTTAAATGAGACCCATAACTCAAGGGCCAGACTGGTATAAATATTAGCCTACGAACGTTTAGCTGAATGGTGTGTGTTCTCCTCCCAATGACTTTGGCAAAATCCAATCTTCTGTCCCCTTTCTCTATGAATAGTAGAGTCTTCCATTTTTTTTCTTTATGTATAATATGTTTTGATGATGCACAAAATAGTTTTATGTAAGATTAACAGTCGAGTGTGTGATAAAGTATAATTAATGGACAATTAATAAAACAATCAATGATAGTAACATAAATATTAGGTCAACACACAGATATATAGTGGTTCGGTGTGGGTGACCTACTCTACTCTAGAAAACGTTAATGGTGGCCGGGAGACTTTTATTGATGAAGTAAGGTGAACAGGGGAGAGAACAATGATTAGCTCCAGAAGAAATACAATAGTTAGAAGAGAGAAAAATTACTTGTGTAGAGGTAGAACTCAATGTGTAGTGAGATAACTCTCTCAATGGAGAGATATTACAATTTATAAGCGTGGTGAGGCGGTGACTTGAGTGTGAGGGTACTAATTCTTCAAAAAGAATAGTTATAAAAGATAAATATAATTAAGATAGCACTGATATTTGAGAGTGGGTATCTCGATGATCTCTTCTCCACGTGCTGTTATTTTCTTAGATTTCTTGGACCTTGGGCTGGGTCGAATTTGCGAGCCGGGTTTGACCTACCTTTTAGTTGACTTGGGCTTGCTGGATTTGTTGGGGCTGACTCNCCTCGGGCTGGGTCGAATTTACGAGCCGGGTTTGACCTACCTTTTAGTTGACTTGGGCTTGCTGGATTTGTTAGGGCTGACTCAGTTAGATTTGGGCTCGTCATATTTTAATTTAGATAACTTCAATTTGAATTAGATTTACCATAACTTTCTAGTGAACGAACGTGACCTGACCCTTAAGGAGACGCTGCTGTAAGCATATTTAAGTTAGATGTTGGAGTTGCATATATTCGTTAGTATCTTTACGTATAAAGACATAGTTGTTTTAGTACAGTGATTACGCGCTTCTTTGATATCATAGATAAACTCTTTCTAATTTAGCATTGTTTATTTTATATTATCCTAATCACATGATATTGTATCATATTTGATTGTATTCTTGTTGTTTTGTATTTTTATAATTGATTTATTAATTAGTATATATATAAAATTATGTTATTTTTCCCATCACACATCTATCATGAATTAAAAAGGGATCTACAACTTCTCCGTGGGTCCATCATCAACACACAATTGCTGGCATAAAATTAAGAAAAATTAAAGAGAAATTGCAATGAAAGAGATCAATGCAAAATTTCACTTAATTCTTGATATGTTCATTCTCCTATGTTAGTACTGCAGTCATGGTAAAAACTCTTACAAAGGCTGATACCTTAATTTCTATAAGAATTGTTCCGCTTACGACATGTTTTGAGGTTTGTTGAATATATTTTTTGTTTAATTAATATTTTATACTTCAACATGTTGGCTTCTCATAAGCCCTTGAGGATTACCATTTTCTGGTGATACTATGATAACAATATGATCACCACCACCACCGTCACCGCCACCACCACCACCATCACCATCACTAATAGGTTTTACGGTCCCACTATGAAATAACTGTGATTTCTCAGCTATTACATTTGACTTCACTGTCCTAAAACGAGCTTGGTCTGAAAGCTCATGAATGGATGCTGAAATATTTTCGACGCTTTTAATAATGTTAATTAGTATTGAAGCAACTGTAACGGCTGGTATGACTTCGAGGAGGTCTGTTTTTACTGGTGGAGAAGCCTCTAATGCAATTTTCAATTCCTCAGCAGCTGCTTTGGAGTTTTGAAGATGGAGATCACAAGAAGATGGGTGTGTCATGTTTTTGATGGCTGAGGCTAATTCCTTTAAAGCCTTGCTTGATTCTGAGCTCAGCTTTGTGCATGGTTGTTGAATTTTTCTTCGAAATTCTGATGGTGCCTGCAGGGAAAACAATTTAGTCAGGTGGACGAATTAGGATGTGTTATTGTAAGCATATTATTACTACAATACAATTATTCTTTTAGTCCCACTTTTATTTATTTAAAATTTAAATTTAAGTGAGACCTTGTCATTTTGTTTTTTTTGTTTTAGTTCATATGGTTAGTCGAGCAATACCATGTTTATTAAATTATTTATTAAATTTGTATCTCAAATTAGTATAGGTGGTTAAATTAATGGGATCTACAAACTTCCACTAAATATTCAATCCACATGATTTTAACACATCATTTAGTATACAACATTTGACGATACAACATTTGAGAATTATAGATTTATCCTTTTTGGTTAATATAGCGTAACCTGAATTTATTGGTTGGCTATCTAGCTAGGCAAAGAACTTGGTTTATGCAAAAACCCAAAAAAGAGTGAACAAAAAAAAAGAAGAAAAGAACTCCTAAATTTTAGAAGTTTGACTAACATTAAAATTCTCTCATATATATATATAAAAAAAATAAAAAATAGTAACATTAAAACACAAAATATTGTACCACTTAAACACAAAAAAATAGTAACATTCAAAAATGAAAAATAGTAACATTCAATATTAATATTTGAAAAAAATAATAGTAATAACATAGTAAAAAAAAAAAATTACATTGAATATTGATATTTCAGAAAAATACTAACATTCAATATTAATAGTAATATATTCATTAAAAAAATAGTAACATGCTCATCAAAAAAATAGTAACATGCAACAAAAAAAAATAGTAACATGCATAGAAATGGTAGTGATGTCAAATTTAAATTTGAATTTTAAAATTTATGAAAAAAAAATCTTTCATTAAGTGTGAATCAATGACGACTATTTAAGAAACTGACTTAATGTTGAAAATTACTTTTTAAGTCATTAGAAGAACATTTTGGAGTTTAAAAAAAAAAAGTGGATTTAATTACTTATTAATAAAATTAAAAATAGTTTTACCCAAAAATAAGTTTTTTTGGCGGACTAAACTCATTATAAATCCCTTAAGGAGGATTCGACTCCAACTTTCACTTTATTTTTTTTGAATATGAATACAGATTGCTCATATTGGCGAGACGAGTATAAAACGGTTAGAAAAACAAAGATAATAGGGTTATAATACCGGAGGCTGAGGGTTTATGTAGCCATTAAGAGTTTCAATTTGGTAAGCACATTGGCGAGAAAGGACACCAATCTTCAGGTATTGTTTCCATGGATGACAGAAACCGAAACGACCATGACAAGGTTCCCACCATGCAAAATTTGCCTGAAAAAGTATAGTGAAAATGGATCAATTTTCATATCAAGCAAAGTATCATGGTATAGTTAGTGGCTTTCGATGCCATTTTGAATAGAGAGAGAGAGAGAAAGAGAGAGAGTATCTGCTTACCAGGGATTCTTCATTTTCTTTTGAGTTGAGGACATTTTTATAATCTTGAAGAACTGAGTTATCATCCTTAGAGACCATTGCACTATCTCCATCTTCAGAAAATTTAAAGTATTCATCTCCAAATCCTGGTATGCCATTTTCCTTGGTAAGTTTGAAAGCACACGTAAAAAACAACGATAATAGGGAAATGGATGTCCAATTTTGAATAACATTTATGGGGGTGTAAATTTAGTAACAAACACAATGTACCTTCTAGGAAGCTTGCAAGCTTTTCTATGTTGTCAGCAACCAGATTGTGAAGATCTTCACCAGCCCATACTGGGCATACAAAAATGGATATCACCATACATGTTGCAGCACCGATGATTATCGTGGACAATCGTTTATGGCCGAGTTCAAAGATTTTTTCTACCCGATAACCCGAGACTGAAATCAAACTGAATGTCAATATGAATATCATAGCTCCATAATCATACCTCCTCCTGACAACTGGAAAGAACCTTGTAAATGTAGATGCTGCAGCTGCATAAACATTTCTAACTTGTATAAGTTTCCCATTATTTTCCTCCATATTTTCTCAGTAAACAAACATACCATTCAATGATTTGTCAAGAAATAAGAGTGATTCTTTATGTTATAATTTATATTGAATCATACCTATAAAGAAAACCAAAAACCCAAGAACAATGGGCTCTCCTTTCTCCCCAAAAAGGGTTGCAAAGTGTTCAGTTCCAATCGCTAGAGCACCGGCTATTAATGTGGCGAAACCTCTATTTAGACTTCTGCACAGTGTTGCACCTGAAAAAAAAAAACATTAACATTACTTAAAAATGAGAAAATTTGTGATTCCGATGTTCATATGTAATATAAGTAACCAAATATATATCAACAGTAGATTTATATATAACATGCATGTATAACTATATTTACGGGGGGAACAGATAGAAAGAGCTTGTTCAGGGAAGGTGGGGGGGAAGGGGAGAAGTGGAACACTGTGTTGGTTCAATCGAAAAATGGCCGATAATGCTTCTTAGGGTTGACTACTTAAGGTTTAAGATTCAAGCAGCTCGTTGCTACACGATTAGTCAAGCTAAACTAAGATAGAAAAGCGAGGTTATTTTAAGACTAAAATAACTTTATTTTTCTAGAGTAAACTCTGGACGTCTTTGACAAGTAAATTAGATGTATAACTTACCAACTGAGAAATCGATAACAAGCACAACAGTTAAGATTGCCCACATTCCTGACTGCCCGAAAGCATCATATAGAGGCCTCAAATAATAGAATAAGGAGACCAATGTGATAGCTAGTCCCGCCTTCAGTGAGTGTCTGATTCTTCTAGGATCATCTTCTCCGAGCTTCTTTGTTTTGGTTACAATCTCAAACCCTTTGGCCTTAAACTTCCCGGGCAAGGCCTTAAGCCATCCACACCCCCGACTGATCGGCCTGGTATTCTCTTGGGTGGCTGAACCAATTTCCATGGCTGAAGAGGTCGGAGTTGCACTTTGTATGGTGTGTGCGGACTGAGAAGTGATAAGAGAATATAGTCAAGTGAAAGGAGAAAGATAAGTAGACATTTTAAAGGTGGTCTCTTCAATCTTATAAGCTATATGGACCTTGGAGAGAAATGGTAACTGAGATAAGAAGAAATGGTCACTGATAGATAAGAATATGGAGATATCTCACCAGTCCAAATTGATAAGTAGTAAACTTGGAAAGAAGATAAATACATTTTAGTGACACTTACATGTGTAAGCCCTATGGGTTGTCTTTGGTTTGACCTTTGACGAGGAGACATAGATTTTCTTTGACAAAACAGAAGGGACTAAGCAAGGAGGCTGACTATGCATGTGCCCCAAATTGGGTTGTAATTAATAATAATAATAAAAAACCCTATGACTAAAAGCACAGACTCAAGCTTCCTAATTTTCTAGGTATTATGTTTCCGTGTTTCCCATTGATTAAGTCGAGTTTGTCAAGTTTAAGTATGTTTATATAGATTGTGATTTGTTAAGATTTTGAACTTGAGATCCGAGCTTGACTTGCATTCTTATTCAAGTTCAATTTAACTGAAGAATGCGAGCTTTCTTAGAAGGTACATCATCAGAATTCTACAATTTCAATTTTTTTTTTCATATCAATTTGAGAAGAGAGAAAAAATGAGGTGTACAACTATTTAGTAATAAGTTTAGGAGAGTTTAAGAGAAATTACATTGGAAGAGATCAATGCAAAATTTCACCTATATCTTGATTTGTTCATTCTTCTATGTTAGTACCGCAGTCACATTAAAAACTCTTCAAAGCTTGGTACCTTAATTTCTTTAAGAATTGGTCTCCTTGCGACGTTTTTTGAATTTTGTTGAACATTCTCTTTTGTTGGAATCAAATAATTTACTTACCAAAAAAACAAAATAACTCTTCAAAAAGTGGTTCCTTAATTCCCTTTAAAGTTGTTCTGTTTGTCCTTTCGGACGTGTTTGGAGGTTCATTGAACATTTTCGTTTGTTGGAATGAAATTATTTATTTACCAAAAAAAACTCTTCAAAGCTTTTGGAAAAAAGTGCATTCATTTTCCTTTTTTCATTGTAAAGAACAACGCTACAAGTTACTACGCGTGAAATGTGGATGGCTAAATTTCATTCATGTTTTTATCACTTTAAAAGGCTTTACTTTTCACACGAGAGAGAGAGAGGGGCTAGTCATACTTGTTGACCAGTCAATGATCCACAGCATGTCTTGCACGGTTGCACCATTGATATGGGCCAGGTAGGCCCTTCCCCGGCCCCATCGCATGCCCCAATTTGAAACTCCCTTTCTAAGCAGTCCATATGGACCATTTACACATTGGGTAAAGTCACGACTCACGAGCTATTCTTTTTGGTTTTGCTAAGCCCGAATTGTCCTTTATCTTGGCCCGACAAATAAGCTCATTGCCTGATCCATTAGCCTGATAAAATTCAAAAAAAATAATAAATATTTAATAGGTCTTATTTGAATAAATCATAATAAAAATAAAAAAAGTCTATTGGGATCGACCTGACTAGTACCCCTTTAAGGCACGTTCATTATGGATGGTTGAAGGATAGATCCTGGTTTTTTAGTCGATCAATCTGTTGATCAATCAATAACTAAGAAGTCGAAGGCCAGAGGCCATTTCTATGGCTTCTTAATGGGTCATTGACTAGTCGGCCAGATAGGCTTGCTACATTCCATCACAAACACATATTTAAAACACTCATTTTGAGGCAACTCCATGATGATTAATATAAAATAACATATACGCTTCGTTTTTAAAAAAAAACCCAACTGACAACTGCTAAGGTATTATACTACTTCATGTGTTAAAAACGTATCTCTCAATCTTCATAATCAAATGATGCAAGACAAACTTTATAGTCTCTTAATGGCATATTCTATTTGAACCTGGTTTAGGTACGTCCCTTTAAGATTGTTTGGTGAATATTTTTTTTTGCACTTAGTTGATGAGGACGATAAGCACCATTTTTAGTGGAGCCTTTTGTTTATAGCAACCAAACATAATAAGATATTAAAATGTAAGCATGCACAAGCACATTTTTCTTTTCCAATAGAAAAAGAGAACAAAAAGCAAACCATAGAGGTTGATAATAATATAAATGATTTGCTAGCAGTAACCTTTTTATTTTTTTATTTTTCGGAGGGAATCTTATTGAAAAGTAATGACCGAATTGCTTTCACAAAACTTTGGGAGGCTCACATCCATAGTACGTGCATATCGATGGGTCTAAAATTTTATAAGCTTTTTTTCTTTTTAAAAGTTTAGGGGTGTTTGAGTCGATTTGCGCACATCTTGATTAGTTATTTCTTTGATCCGGTCAAAGACAAGCCATCCATGAAGAATAAATCTTTTATGGCCTAGCCTTAAGGTGTTGCTAATATTTAAATTCAAAACGTCTGAATTTATAACTCGTTCCTATTATCACTTGTGCTATGTCTTGAAATTTTTAATAAGCTTTGGTGGTTGGTTGCCTAATCAACTTTTTGGGTCCTACTGAAGATAAAATCATATTATATATATTGTTTCCTAGATGAAATTTCAAGATACGAGTGCTGAAAATGAATTATAACACGGTTGATTAAGTATGAATGCAAGTGTCTAAATGAGTTGTTTTGTAAATCTATCATGATTTCGTAGAAAAATTAGCTCAAAGTGTAAAAAAAAGTATTAGTGGGAAGTTAGTGTTGGGGAATCCTATCAGCCTATAGATAAGTAAGTGTGCATCCCTAAAGCTTTACCAGCATGCAAGTTTAGATGTATATTGTATAATGCTAAAATGATTTGNCCTCCGACGATCAAGTCAGTTTTTGAGAGAGAGGAAGAAGAAAACACTGAGTATAAGTTTGAAAAAAGGTTTCACGTTCTCCCTTCTCTTGCCTTTTGTGAGGAGTATTTATACTTCAAAAACTCATGATTGCTGTCAGTGTGGTCAGTAGGTGATCATTAGATACGGGCAACGTGCGCACTGATTCCTATGAGGAATGTCTTCTTTTTTAACTGCTCGGGATCCTGAGCAACCAAGTCTGTGTCATTGGCCTGCCGACTGTTTAATGAGCTCCTCTCGGCAAGGATGTAATAAATGCCCAGCCTTAGAGACATTTATTACCTTTCATTTCCGAGCCTTACCGCATTAAATGCTGTCTCATCAAGGGGAATGGTGTAATTAAATGCTTGCTTTCCCAAGTCGTGTGTCAGCAAGGGAATCCGGTCTTTTTGTCTCTAATGCGACACAATATGCCACGCGTCCATTCCCCATTATCTGTATCCCCTGCCTTCTTGTGCCTTCTGACACCAATTGTGTAAGACGAAGTCATGATGGCTAACCTAGCTTAGCCTAGGCTAGTGACCTGTACATCAATAGCCTCTGCAGGAGCAGAGAACGCCATCTTGGACGGGTATATCTCGGTACCGAGGGGGAGTGTACATGTAGGGACCGATGTACCATATCCGACCCGAGGGATACGTGTCGGTACGTAACGTACTGGGTGTCATTGATCCNGTGTACATGTAGGGACCGATGTACCATATCCGACCCGAGGGATACGTGTCGGTACGTAACGTACTGGGTGTCATTGATCCTCATGAACAGTACCTCGGGGGAACAGGGACTTGTGATCCGACGGATGTGTGTTGTGATTATAGTAAAAGAATTTATTGATGCCGAGGACACGTGTCTTCATATTGGAATACTTGGAAATGTCCTATCAACTGCCCCCCAGCCTTTGATCTCCAGACACCGAGGACACGTGTCGTAAGGAGACGAAGGGTTTTGGAACTACCCCAACTACTTCATCATTGCCTTCAGCCACTTTCCCCTACTTCGGAGGTTGTGCGCATTAAATGCGCCTCTTCGTGCTTCGTGCCCAAATGATGGGGATGAGTACTATATAAATGGGCTTCCTCTCTCCCTCTTTCACTTTGCCATTTCAGAGAGCCATTGCCTAAAACCTCGTTGGAGATCCCTTTCCTTTCATCGTCTACTGTCCAATCTTTCACCGGAGTCTTAAGGCCAGTAGACCCATCCTTGCTTCTAAACATTCTGGAGGAAGGAGTCACTTCAAGTTTCAAGAAAAAAACTTCCTTTTACGTTCTGGTGAGTCCTTGTATCTTCCCTTTCTTCGCCCTCCGTCTATTCTCTTCTTCTCATTTTTTTTTGTTACTTTTGGTTTTTCGATAACTGGAAGCGTTTCTGGTTGCCACTCAACGACCAATCCTCGGGAAGCCTCCTTGGGGATCTTCGTGAAAAAACCCCCCTCTTTCTTCACTTTTTATCACTTTTTGGAGATGTCCTGTCGTCGCCCTGCCCCCGAGAATCCTCAGGCCAGTTATTCGAAGCCAGAGAAGTATAAAGTAAAAGGGGGCGAGCAAATTAATAGTTTTAGGGTCAAGTACAACATCCCCCCATAAGTAGACATAGAGGATTATGACTCGGCTGTGCATTCCCGTACCCTCGGGGCCGAGGATGAGATGCCTTTTTATACCAAAGCCATCATAGAGGGCAAAATTAGGTTCCCTCTACTCCCTCTACTCCTCCAGTTCCTCTTCCATTTCCACCTGTTCCCCGGGCAGTGTTGCCTTAATGTCTTCAGAATAATTATGGGAGTCTTAGAGCTCAACAAGCGTCTTGGGGTAAATATTAGGCTGAACGATATCCCCTTTTGCTACTCCCTCTTGAGAGTCATGCCTCAACAAAACTTCTATCTCAAAGCCAGGGACCTATCCATGTACCTCGTAACTCATCTTCCCGGCTCGGACAAGGGGTACAAGAATGACCTACTCATCTTTAAGAGATCTTGGTAGAGGGGTGCCGGTCCCGAGTACAACGGCTTGTTATGCCCTTTGGAATGGAGAACGACAAGTACGTCGGCTTCTTCGGGTCTATTTTTTTGTTCTTGAGATTTTTTAGTAGAGTTCATAACTCACTCCCCTCTCTTTTTGTTTGTG